CGGATTCGAATCCCACTGGCGGCACGTTTTTCACGAAACCATACTATCAAGGTAATGACAGCCTCAGTTCCATTATTGCAAACTGACGTTTAACTATCATTTCGGTTGGATAATGCACGACCAAGGGCAAGAACCGTGGTTAATTGCTAGACAGAGTAATTCATAATAAAATAACGAGACTGTTCATATGAACGTTCAAAGGTATCTTCCCGAAGACATGGTTTATGCTTCTGACATAGGACCTGTTCAAGGGAATAGGCCTGCGACAGTGCTACCTTTCATATATTAGAACCTGCGTAGAGAAGATAAGATACACACAACACGTCTTTCAGTAAACTTTGAGCGATTAACTTCAGCTTTGAGAAGTTGGAGATGTATGATTCCTTGTACAAAGCCTTTCAGATGTGTGCACGTAGCATCATCGGGTCTATGAAGGTCGTTTCGTGATAGATTCTCCTGGCTGCTTAATTTGATTTGTGTTTACATGCAAATCGGTCTACAATTTACTTCAAATCTTATATCCTTTGGGCACCTGTGGCCCAGTCGTAGTTACCTCCCTTTGGCATCGAATCCCAGAATTGCTCTCCTGTTGTTTTGTTTTTTTGTTCTTTAACGCCGCTCTCAGCAATATTCCAGCTATATGGCGGCGGTCTGTAAATAATCGAGTCTGGACCAGGCAATCCAGTGATCAACAGCATGAGCATCGATCTACGCAGTTGGGATACGATGACATGTGTCAACCGAGTCAGCGAGCCTGACCATCCAATCCCGTTAGTTACGACAAGCATGGGTTACTGAAGACAAATTGTAACCCTGATCTTCACGGGTTTCTCCTGCACGTTCACAATATTGGTCAACAAGGCGTACACCAAGTCTGGCTTTCCTCCCTCGCCAAGACACACTGGATATAACTGGAATACTTTTCAAAGCAGGTTTAGATAGAGCTCATGGGTTTTACCACAGGTGAAACCCACAAGCCACTCAGGTATTGCTGATATAATCAATGCTACCACGATCATTGGCCGCTGGTACTCGCACATTGTGTGAATCTGGGGCAAGTCAGGTCACTTGCCAGTGGTTGTACAGAAACACGATGCAATTTTCCATGGATGAAACCCACAATGACCATATTTTCAGATAGGTTTATACAGACCAGCTCATGATTACTGATAAATCCATCGATATATGAAGATCTGAGTAAGAACTAATTTACAGTAATCCATATCAACTAACAGAGACCAGGTGATCAGACTTCCTGATATTGCGGATGCTTGTCCATTTCCTAATTGCTTATAATGATGCTCATGACATCAATCACTGGATTGTCTGGACCAGAATGTACAGATTCTAACAAATAGCTGACTGCTTCATTCAACAAACAAACAAATTGCATCCATCAAATGTTCAAGATCCAGTCTTAAACTAAATATCTAACTCAACCATAAAATAATATTATTATTTATTATTATTGGATATTTATATAGCGCACATATCCACGCACTAGTGCATGCTCAAGGCGCTGGTATTTTTTCCCTCGATCATTGGATGTCAATCTCAATGGCACATCGTATTATCAATCTCAACTCCCTGGGGAGTATACAACTCTTGCAGCCACTAGGCGCACCGAGTTATTGTGGCTTTCTCATCCTTACGAGGTACCCATTCACAGCTGGGAGGACTGGGACACAGTCACAGTACTTTGTCCATGTTCACTGCACGTTGCTGTACCCGCAACTAGGTGTTTGCACGTATTCATGTGGCCACCATCTGGTCATTTACCAACGGATTTGTGGGTTCTTTTAAGTGCACAGGGTTGTGTACTGTACACTAGGGGTTGTGACAACACTGAAAGAGTCTGCACACAAAGTTGCCTCCAAGGTTTTTTACACCTGGTCACAGGTGGGCTCGATCCCAACACCCCAACCTCGCTGGATCACTAGCCTGGCGCCTTAGCCAGCTCGCCCACCGCGCCCCATAAACAGGTAAATGTACCATTTTCATGGTACATGTATATGTGAACTTTCTCTTCTGGTGACTAACATATGGTTAGATCCTGGTTAGAATTGGTCTTAGTAAGCCATGCTTGTCATAAGAGGTGACTAACAGGATCGGGTGTTCCCGTTCCCAATCCGTTCCCAATTACGTACATCGATGAGCTAAATCCATTAATAATTGTCATATTCTCTGAGCCACCACATGACAGTTTTCCTGGTAATATTCCCTGTGTATCTACCTTGTGAGTGAAGAGGGAGTGAGTTAGTGATTTTTAGTTTTACTCCGCTTTTAGCAATATTCCAGCACTATCACAGCGGGGGACACCAGAAATGGGCTTCACACATTGTACCCATGTGGGGAATCGAACCCAGGTCTTAGGCATGACGAGCGGACGCTTTAACCACTAGGCTACCCCGCCGCCCCCTGTGAGTGAAGAACAACAGCTGAGAGATACAAACACTTTATTTACATCCTGACAAGAGGTGGAGATGATGATGTAGTGTATAATCAAGCACAATGAACAAATGGTCAAACTTAGATGGACAATGAGTATTTACATTAAATAAATGAAGGATGGTTACGTCAATGCTCCACTTACACTCTAAAAAATTACACAACACTCCATTCTTTCTTACACTAACAGTATTTGGCAATATCATTTGTTCCTCATCTTCTTTCTTTATTTTTCACTGTCATAAACCTATAATTGGACTCTTTTGCAATGGATGGTCTAAAAGTTACTAACTGCAATGTAACTATTTTTGGATTTTGGTTGTTAAATTGTCTAGTGATATAAAAAAATATATGCACACAGAATCTCTCCATTTTCAGAAAGTGAAGAAATCAACACTTGTAAAAGTATTGTAGACTTTCAGGAGAGATTTTGTCTCTTTTTGTTTCAGGGTGGGTATGATGGCATAATTTCAACTGTCTAGGTTGCTAATGGTTGGGTTACCATACTAGCACGGCCAATCAGTTTCTATTTTTCTTCAAACATTTACTAAGGGACTGTCTTGTTGATTATATTTGCAGATGCCAAAGAATTTGCAAGATTTAGCAAACATCAAAGAGACACATGCTGTGCATGATTTTCACACATGTCACCATTTTCACCATCTTCTTACATGCTTAAAGTTTCAAATTTACACATTTTTAGTTTTATCATCAACATTCAATATTAAAAAAACCTGATTTTGATATCCAGTTATAAAGTCTTCTGAATAATAAACATATAGAAATTACAGCACTTTAAATCAGATGCACATAAAACACAAAACAATGAAACATAAACATGATGAATCAGGGGACTATAAAACCGGGGAAGTCTGATCCCAGGTGTACTTACATAGACCAGACTTAATAACATCTAGAGTCAAACATATACAGATTTCATTTCACATTTCTGGGTGTTGTCGAGATTTTTAAGAAGTAAAGTTTCCTACTAGATAATCAGAGAGACTTCAAGTAACTGATCCCCAATTTAAGGCTTTTTTCACTCTCTGCATCGAGTGGTAACAGGTGTTTGGCGCTCAGTGTTAATTATTATTATTGGAGTGACAAGAGTGGAAGTGAGTGAGCTTGGTTTTACACCGATTTTAGCAATATGACACCAGAAATGGGCTTCACACATTGTGTCCATGTGGGGAATCCTACCTGTGTCTTGGGCGTGACTAGCGAACGCCTTAACCACTAGACTACCCCACCCCGACAATGAGTAGTCCCAGAGGTGACTGACCTAGTACCAGGCATACCAAGTGCTAATTGGCATGGAATTGTCACAGCAATGTACAATGAGACATTATCAGCTAGGTGGCACCTGAGAGGTAGTAACACTACCTTGTCACTAGTGGTATTGCTACTTCTTCTGTATTTCCTCAAACAAGAGTTGAATAGTTTGAAAATGAGCTGACCCATAACAAGAGCCTGATGTCTATAGCAGCCTAACCTCAAGAAGAAACTGACCTTAAAGAAGAGCCTTATCTCTATAAGGAGACAACCTCTATAAGGAGCCTGATCTTAATGATGAGTCTGATTGGAATAAGGAGTATGATCTGTTTGGAGAACTGACCTCAAAGCAGCCTGATCTCTGTAAAGAATGGACATTTATAAACTGCCAACCTCTATGAAGACCTCAAGTCTATAGAGTGTCTGATCTCTATAAAGAGCCAGCCTCTGTATAGCTTCAGATCTCTATAAAGGACCAACCTGATTTCTTTAAGGCACCGATCTCTATATCATGTAGAGATTGATCTGTATATGAACAGCCTGACCTGTATAAACAACTGATCTCAATAAGAAGCTTCATCTTTATAAAGAGCCTGATCTCTAGGAAAGGATGGCTGCAAGCAAGAGCAGATGCCCCTAAAGGGACAAATTCTAGAAAGAGCCATGTGTCAGTGTAAGGACAGCTGGAGTTATAAGGGCCTAGGCTCCCTTTTACAAAGTGATCTTAGCACTATGATGATCATAAGTCCTATACTCTAACATAGACTTATGATGGTCTTACCACTATGATCATCATAAGTCCTATACTCTAACATAGACTTAAGATGGTCTTACCACTATGATGATCATAAGTCCTATACTCTAACATAGACTTAAGATGGTCTTACCACTATGATGATCATAAGTCCTATACTCTAACATAGACTTAAGATGGTCTTACCACTATGATGATCATAAGTCCTATACTCTAACATAGACTTATGATGGTCTTACCACTATGATCATCATAAGTCCTATACTCTAACATAGACTTAAGATGGTCTTACCACTATGATCATCATAAGTCCTATACTCTAACATAGACTTAAGATGGTGTTAGCACTATGATGATCATAAGTCCTATACTCTAACATAGACTTAAGATGGTCTTAGCACAATGATCATCATAAGTCCTATACTCTAACATAGACTTAAGATGGTCTTACCACTATGATGATCATAAGTCCTATACTCTAACATAGACTTATGATGGTCTTAGCACTATGATCATCATAAGTCCTATACTCTAACATAGACTTAAGATGGTCTTACCACTATGATGATCATAAGTCCTATACTCTAACATAGACTTAAGATGGTCTTACCACTAATATCGCTTTGTGGAAGTGAGCCCTGGTCATTTACATCCAATGACTTCTCTTACATTAAATACCATCATTTATCAATGTCAAAGATGACCTTTCCATCCTCTCTATCTATCTTTCTAATTCCAGATACAAAACAATTAAAGACCGAGTTTATAATAAGAGGACACACTAATATGGGTTGAGGCCTATGGTAGAAAGAAACTGACATCCTAGGCTTTTCATTCTGGAAATACAGTAACTGAGCAGATTTTAACATTTCTTCACTCTGAAGACCATACTGCAAGTATGAAGCAGGGAGGGACTTGTCAGCAGTGTTTTAGAGGTCTCCTATCATAAACCTCCATCTATCTGTACACGGAGCCGTGTTTCATTGTCCATCATCACCCGCGTCGTTGCTGCACCATAGTAGTCTATCACGTACTCTGACCCGTCCGAGGGCTTCACTACCTGCAAACACACACATCGATGTGGTCACTATTAAGCCTGATATACAGCACACGTTCAAATACATTTTTGCAACAAAAATGAATTTACATTAAATGATTAAGGCTTAAGTCTTATATATTGGTATTATAATGTATAAATAATGTGTCCACTCTCATGAAATAAATAAAACAATAACTAAAACACAAAACGTCAATATAGTTGTAAATATGATTATTGAGTTTGAGAGATAAGACACTCTATAGACTTGAGGTCTTCACAGAGTTTTACACTGCACTCAGCAATATTCCAGCTATATGGCGGCTGTCTGTAAATAATCGAGTCTGGACCAGACAATCCGGTGATCAACAGCATGAGCATCGATCTACGCAATTGGGATACAATGACATGTGTCATCCAAGTCAGCTGGTCAGCTGCTATTGTCTGGCGACTTTACCATGCTAACACTTTGCTCATTCTTGATACAACTTGGTTTTTCCTAGTATTATTTGTCAATATGTATTCCACTAACAAACATTTAGAGAAGAGATGTTGAAAATGTAGGTAGGACAACACTCACAACATTCAGTATTTGTAAGACGACAGCTACTTACTAACATTAGTTAACAAATAATTCCCAAATTAAGATATTTGAAAATTTCAACTATAGAATTGTACATATATTTTATTTATCCTATCTCACATTATGGACTTTCTTGTGTTCTTACGACCCTGTAGTGGAAATGACATGGAACAAAGTTTTCTGTTTCTCCTAACATGCGTAATATGCTGTAGCTATGTAGTCATCAAGGAAAACTATATTTTCCTCTGCAAGTCTCCTCATTCCGTGGACTTACCTGTGTTGCTATGAGCAGAATGTCGATCAGCTGACCCAGGAACATGAACCCTAGCGTGGCAAACTTCACCAAACCTGGAATGCATCAACAAGTCTCAAAGATTTTTTAAAGGCACTATATCACACCACACTTATCTGAAATTGAATAATGCATATCTCTCAATACTACGAACATACTAGCCCTCTGGGAAGCCACCATATAATTTATTTTAAAAAAACAATTACGTATTCAGATTACAGTATTAAATTAAAAAGTTTGAATGAATTAATGCAACGTTGCATTTAATCGACTCTCGTGCCCTCTACCAGCTGAACAGTATTTCAAGCGAACCCCATACAGTTATGTCCCTTGGAGCGCTCTTTATGAATATCCTACGTGCAGCGTGTGTGTTGTGTTTGGAAGCTGTTCGCCTCGAAGTTTCAATTATCGATTTCAGGCAAGTCGTAAGGGATAATAAGTCTTTTATTGCATCAATAGAAACCTAAAGTGAGTGCATATGCCCCAATATATATAACATAGGCAAAACATTGTCGAAAATGTGTGACATTGTGCCTTCAAATTCCTGTTTCTGATAATGTAGCATCTTCATGTTCTGAAAGGTATACATGGGTATTTCAGGCTAAAATTTCCATTGTAAGAGAGCAGAAGAAAGTGTATCCAATAAGCTGTTATCTTACTCAACTGTTAGTCACGTCAAACATATACTGTAAGCCATTAAAAACTCAATTGGTATTTGTTGTCCTGAAACTCACAAAAGGTTTATTGAAGATTTTTGCCTGCGATACAGAGAATGTAGGGATAAAAGGCTGTTATTCTGGCCCATTTCGAGTTCGAGTCCCGGAGCATTCCTCTCACATGAACTTTGATACTTAAAACTGAACCTTTGACATTTCTCGTAAACACAACCACATTCATGAAACACGTTGTGCACATGCATTACCTGCACCCAGGCCCTGTTAAAGCACAAGGAATTGTGGAACTCAATCACTTTGAGAAAATGCCACACTTGATACAAGACGAAAGGAATCAGGTTATCGGTATGGTCAGCCAAGGTGCTTCAGATGTGATGATTGCCAGGCACTTTAATGTGCATCCATCCACTGTAAGTCGACTCAGACAACGTTTTCGGGCTACCGGAAGTGTTGCTGATCGTCCGCGACCTGGTGATCAACCTGTGATAACAGCTCGACAAAACCGCAATATCCGAGTTTCACACTTGCGAAATCGGTTCCAAACAGCTGATGATGAGGCAAGGAGGACAATTGGGACAAGTCAACGTCATTTCAGCGCCCAAAAGGTGCAAGGACACCTTGCTGTCTTCAACATCCGGTGTCGTCACCCGTACCGTGGTCCAACCTTATTGCATCGCCACAGACTTGCCAGACAGCGATGGGCAGCAAATGGGGCCAATCTTGGCAACAGGACATGGCCAGATGTCATTTTGTCAGATGAATCCAGGTTTAACTTATCCTTTGCAGATGGACGTCAACAGATTTATCAACGTAAAGGAGAAAGACTTGCGCCAAACTGTGTCCTTGAACATGATCGTTTTGGAGGGGGTGGTGTCATGATCAGACCACAGACCATCAGAGGCTGCAGACCATCCAACACCTGTTCCTAAGAAATGTGTGTCTTTCAATGCCCCAAAGACTGCGAGCATGTCTTGCAGCGCACGGTGGACACACATGATATTGACTGCAAGTGACCCCTCCTTTGTTTGATGTCGTTGTTGCGTCACTGATGTTGTTGTTGACTGGCCATTTTCAGATGAAATTATTCACAGATGTTCACTTAAAACATATCTGCCAGTTAGGTTTATATATGTTGAAATTGGTGTGAGTAAAGAAAGTATGAATGTCAAATTGCGTTTTTAATGGCTTACAGTATATATTGTTTCCCAAACAGGTTTAGCATTTTATCTTTCAGTCAGTAAGGCCTGACCAGTTAGGTTTTAATATTTAAGACAATTTTCAAGTATGTCAAACTGTACACTGGATATGAAAATGGTCATACTGGGTCCATTATTTAATAATTGGAAATAAAAAAGTATATGACACATGTCAAAAGGGTCACAACTGTCCTTAAAGAATTGTTAATTACAGTTCATTAAACAAATGATTTGTGGGAGTATAATTAGGCTGCATATGTGATATTAGCTGGAATATATATTGTGCAAGGATATTGTTCATTTTGTTTTGTTTCAAATTAATTGTATATTTAGAAATATTTAACTGTGTAACAATTCTGCAAACAAGATTTGTTTGTATACAGCACATTTTCACTTTTTACTTAAGGGAGGACGGGGGTGGGGAGGGATGATTTCAATAGACTTTGAGGAGGCTCATTCATGAAACAGAAAAGGAAATCATCTACTACAGGCAAACACCATTGTGTCAAACTTCGATGGTTGATCATACAAAGTTCAAAGCAAAGCTCGTGTCCTGAGTATTCCTTCTAGATTCATCATTTTTGGTTGTATTGAACCTTGGATTACTTGAATAATTTTCTAAGGTCCCTTTAACTTTGACACATCAGTATTTGACAGTATTTTAACCATTGCCAACCAAAGCACCTGGTGCTTGTGGACATGAAAACCTGGTTGCACCAGACAAAAGAAGGTTGCACTCAAATGAATTATCAAAGTTAAAAGATTGATGTAGAAACCAGTCTCACACCTGTGATGACTGTCATGAAGAAATGAAGAATTGGTAAGTGTTATTAGACAGACAGACAGACAGACAGACAGACAGACAGACAGACAGACAGACATACATACATACATACATACATACATACATACATACATACATACATACATTTTATTCAGTAATAGGCCACTGGCCCAAAATACATTCATATATATGATAGAGCAGAAGAAACAAGCGCCGAGCGGGTAGCAAGCGATGCATTGAAAGCAAGAGCTGAACTGAATGTACCAAGCGCGGAACCAGAAACACTGGGAGTAGGCGCTGAACCCGACGTACTGAGAGCAAGCGCCGAACCGAATGCACTGTGAGAAAACGCTCAACCCAACGCCCTGTGAGTAAGCGCCGAATTGGATACACTATGACTAAGTGTCGAAACGGAAGCACTGTGAGTAAGCGCGGATCCGGGAGCAAACGGTGATCTGAACGAAAGCGCTGAATCAGGACCAAGCGGCGCTCTGCAAACAGGCACCTGTCCCGATGTAAGCGATGCTTCGGAGGTAAACGACACACTAGAATAAAGCGGTGGTCCGTAACCAAATGGTTCAGAATAAGGGATAGATGTGGAAAGGGTCGCACTGGGAATCATCGGCAAACTTACAGACCCCACCGGAGGATGAGAAAGCGCCGAACCGAAACTATCCACTGTACCAGAACAAAGTGTCACATTAGAAACAAGCATCGATTGGGTAGTCGATGCAGAACCAACCACCAAAGTGGAAAGCGCCGATCTGAAAGTAAGCGTCGCTTGGGAGGTAATGTTAGGAACCACACCAAGTGCCGCATAAGAAACTCCCACCGAAGGAACATAGGGGTGCTGGGGTACAGTCACCACCGATGACGGACGGGGTTGAACAGCAGATGTAGATAAAACGACAACCTTAGGTGGTGAGGAGTCCTCTAATGTGATAGGGCTGGATGCATGCGGACGGAAAAGTCGACGCAGATTTTCACTGAGGTAAGAATCAGACACCTCCTCTTGGAAATCCTCCTTGGGAGACGGGGACTTTGAACGTTGAACCGCAGTTTTCTTACGGCGTTCTGCCTTAGGACGTTTAGACGAAGACGGACCCTCAGATGTTTTATGACGGTCCCTATCTGACATGCGTCTACAAGCTACCCGACGATATTCAGAGAAAGCATCGTCGTCGAGGCCAGCACAAAAAGTGCAGCGATGAGACCAATCATAACGACCTAAACAATCTACACATAAAGCATGTGGATCTGCCGCCAAGAAATAACTGTTACAATTGTCACAATGTTTGCGCTTCTTAGAACCATTAGGATTCAATTTACCCATGATGAATCACAATCAAACTTTCTTTGAGACAAGCACCTGTCCACACTACATAGCGACAAGAAAGAGAATGACACTGACAGGCACAGGTCGTCACGTGATCACCTGAGCGATCTGCACGCTTATTGAGATGATTGACAGGTGCTGATATCGGACTGGAGGCAGAGGTCAGGTGGTCAGAGGCCAGTAAGATTTGATTCAACTTAGCCTACAGCACGTTTCCACACATGGTCGTAGAAGAAGAGGAGAGGTGCATACCGTGAGATAGGATAAGTTTAAAAATTAGTATGTTTCAAATATTTATCCAGAAACTTATTCCTTATATCTATGTAGGCTTTACAATAAAGTACAACATGTATTTCATCTTCAATTAAATTGTTATTAATTTTGTGGCAAAAAGGACATAATCTTGAATCATAAGGAACATTGTTATATCTACCGGTCTCAGAGCTAAGTTTAAATTTACCACATGTAAATTTTGTTAAACAATTTCTTAAATATGGGGCAATATCTAAACTGAGATAACTTTCAACATTAACATTGATAAATTATCAAAGTTAAAAAATTGACATGACAGATGCAGAAACCAATCTAAATTAATAGAAATCTCACAACTCTGATGACTGTGTCATGAAGAAATGAAGAATTGGTAAGTGGTATTACAAATAACAGGAACATCTTGAAGCATTCACAGTTTGAGACATCAAACCCAAGAAAGCATAACTGATTACCCATAAAAAGATTTATTGGTGTTGAATGGTATACAAGCTTAGAGGTGTTGTTTGAGTTCAAAGATTGTTGCTATGTGTAAATGTTTAGTTAAAGGTTTGTTAAACACAAACTTTGAATTCTTTTTACATACACTTATGCAGACATAAGATTTGGTCGCTCTTTTCAATATTAAATTTCATTGGTACATGATGTAACTGATAAATTGAGTCCTATATTATCTAAAGTGTTTATAATGTCTAATGATTGTTTGTGTGTTTATTGTATAATGCTGCACTCAGCAATATTCCAGCTATATGACGATGGTTTGTAAATAGACCATCCAGTGGTTGACACCATGAGCACTGATCTACACAACTAGGTGACGATGACATGCATCAACCAAGCCAGCGAGCCTGACCACCTGATTCTGTAAGTCATCTCTTACGACAAGCATGGGTTGCTGAAGACCAGGGCCTAAGATAGTAATGTTAATGTATAGCACTTATGACTATCTTAGCGATTAGAGAGCTTCGAAAATCTAGGCAAAGGATCTTCACAGATCTAATGTCTAATGACTTCTATTGACTCTACAGTCAAAACATTTGATAAAACTTAGAGAAAATACATAGTCCACATATATGAAGCTGTCTTATCAATTTCATAGGTATTTAATAAATTTGATGTATACTTTACAGATGGGATCTACTGTGGTTTCAAGCACCTTGTTAAGGAGAACTTTCAACTGTAAACAAGATATCCCGATGGTCTGGAGACAGACAGTTGGAACAGGCCACGTAAATGCAACATGTTCCTTGGAAAACTGAGGAGTATGGCTTTTCTTGTGCGGTCAGACCATGTGTTGTTGATCATGTGCAAAACCATAGATTCAGGCTCACTTGTGTTTGGGTCTTACTTGATATAGGTGACAGCTCATCACAAATCGTTTGATCAGGTTGAACGATTGTCCAAAGATTTCTGAGTGTTACGAAGTTTTCCGAATGCAAGTCAAAATACCGGTTTTCGATCAGCGTATCGCAATACGTATCGTTTTCATGTCTGAACCGATAAGTACCGGTAAACCGTTATATTGCGCAGCCCTAGTAGATAATAGACTTTAAGGTATAAAATTACGTTTCTTTGCCCCATGTGCATTTGTTGAAAGAGATTCATGTTCAGTTCCCCATAATTTATTACTTGAATCATTTCATCACTTTAACAAAGAGAGTCGCGTTTAGTTACCCGAATAGAACCTTTTTCATATTTAGTTAATTTAGTTTCAATTCAACTAGCGCAACACCCAATACCAATATTCTGGTAAATTATCAGTAATAAATCTCTGTGAATGGCTTATGAAAATGTTCTGTTTCAGAAACAATGAAACACATGTTTACCTACATAACCAAGAATTATTCATATTCTGAACAAAACCACCACTGCCCTCAGTGTTCCATCATGGACTGGGGCCTAACTTTTGATTCTGCTTACCTATAGCAGGGTAGCCCAAGTAAAACCTGTCAATACCAAACATCCCAAGGAATATGGACAACAGGAGGGCAGTCTCAAACTTGTGTCCATTTCTGAAAATGAAATACAAAAGTTTGAAATTCGCATTTCATCAATTGTGATGTCTAACTTTATTGATCACATGTCATTGTCATGGTAACAGTTATAATCATGGTAGTGGTGCAGGGATCATTATGCTCATAGGCACAGTTTCAAAACACAGGACAGCAGCTGGAATTCACCCTCTTTTTATTACCCTGTCCTGTAAAACATTTCACACAAAGGTATTCCATGAGTACGTGTATACACGACCCAAAATAAGTAAAAAGACAGATTGTTACATGACAGATGACTTTAATCATATGAGAAGAATCAGATGTTGAATGTCTCTTGGATAGTGTGCATGTCCACAGTGATAGCGAATAATGATCCATAGTTTGACAAAAAACCTTTAGCTGAGGCTCTACCTCTGACCATGCTTGTATATCTGTATGTCTTCATTGTTTTGAGAATACAATATGTTCTAACAATATGTTTGTTTCTTTAACATCATACTCAGCAATATTCCAGCTACTTGATGGTGGTTTGTAAATAACATCTATAAATGTAAATCTGAAATGCATCAGAGTTTGTTTTCGCTTGGCAACTCATGTAAAACTCCAGTACATCTTAAGTGTGTGAAATTTACGCTGGTCCTGTGGTCCCTGGCTAGTAAAAATTCATCAGGACCAGTAAATGATAAGTTTTTAGTGGTCCTGGTGGCCAGTGAATTTTGTATTGATACGAATGTTATTTTGGACCAGTGAAGTACAGACATTATTGTCCACTCACTGGTCCTTTAGTCTAGTGGGAAAGTGTGAAAGGTTTGTTTCCCTTATCTAAACAACAATACACCTATTCTTGCCGAAATGAGTTTTGATTACTCTGAAATATTGAACTCAGCTCATGACTTTCAACCCGTGTTTAGAATGATTTTGTGAAACCTTCAAATTGGTGTAATATGAAAACAAATGGCTTCTCTTGTTGACCTAACCTGGATTGAAAGTTCAAAAAAGGAAGTGAAGTCATACTAGTAGTAGTAACTACTAGTGTATGGCTAAAAAGTCACAGCAATTTGACATGACCCACATTATTTTCTAAATGACCCACATAAGTGGGGGCTGGATAGCTATGGGCTAATGTTTTAGAACTGCTGGAATGAACACTGGAGAGTGAGTATGGTTTTATGTTGCTATTAGCAATATTCCAGCAATATCATGGTGGGGTACACTAGAAATGGGCTTCACATGTTATTCCCATGGAAATAATGAAACTGTATCTTTGGTGTAACAAGTGAATGTTTAAACCATACTCTATCCCCCTCCTCACAATGATGCAGGAAATAATGATGAACCTTCAGATAACTTACGTCCATTTGCATGGAACATTCTTTTTGAAGCCGTTTTTGCTGTTATGTTCTTTGCCATCATAAATACAAGTGATGTCTGCAGCTGGCCGACAGGTCACTGAAATAGAGACGATTATGGAGAATTCAATTTACGTGTTTAAAAGTTCCTACTGAATCAAACTGTGAGCACAATTTCTAAAATCTTGAGTCTTTTGTAAAGATAGTTCTTGTAAGGATAAATCAACATCCATCGTCATAACTTTCACTGCATCCTTAAAAATATTCATAACACAATCAAATGTTCAGATGTAGGGAAGGGAGAAATTTCCTGACAACTTTGAGTATTGTGTACAGTTGTGTGTATGTTAAAGTAAACATGTCAAATACAACTAAATATTCCTGAATTAAAGTAAATGAAGTAAAATATCTGTATTATTACCAGTATATGAAATAAGGCCCATCCGACCGCCTGAGATGGGATAGATTTTGGACGGACGGTCTAACTTTACAGCTAACCATCTAAGTATGTTTTTTAGGATTGCTTGGTCTGGTTAAATCCATTTTGGGCTGGTAACATTTTGAAGTTACCAGCCCTGATGTCTGGCTGGGTTTGGGGCTTATTTCATACACTGTTATTACAATAATCTACTTTCTTGTAACCATAATAACAAGGAGAGTGATGAATATGAAGATGGATGTAGAAAAGAATGCCTAAAGAAACCTTAAATACTATATGAGACTACATGGTGCTTGACTTCAAGAACCAACCTTGAACTGTCCTGCTGTCTGGGTTACATTCCTTTGCCTGCTGGGTTTCAGTGTCTATCTCTGGATCGTCACATAGGTACCTTCACACGTTAAGTTAAATAATTCATTGGGCTTGAACATGAACAAGATAAAACAGACAGAATCATTTTCAGTTCATTTAATGTTCAAAAGCATTATTCACAGCCAACCAAGAGCCTATTACCCAGTCTTTAGATACTAGTATTTTAATTGAATATAATTTAACAGAAATTATTGGATTTATATTTTATACCACAGTAACCATAAGGAACATTGCTATGCTGTCTCACATTCCCTGTACTAAATTATTCTCCCTTCAGCCCATAACTGCCTGGTAATGCTCTAAACACAAAAATGCTAAATGAAGGAAGTCTAGGCTTCCTCTATTGTCCCATCTTACTGGGGCTCCTCTTCAATTTAATTGTTTCTCTCAAGAGTTATTTCAACTCTTGTTCACTTGGGTGGTAACGAGGGGTGTTGTGTCAAATAGACATTGTACATTCTTGAATGATCGCTTGCGTTCAGGATAAAGTTTTCTTTTATAAGTTAGTGATGTTTTTACAATATGCTATACGATAATGGAGACAACCACGAATGTTCTTAAGTGTCTGAAAACCCATAACACGATGATATATTTTTAGAGATTAAGAGAGCGTGAGTGAGTAATATGAGTTTTGTTTTATGCTCCACTCAGCAATATTCCAGCTATATGGCGGCAGTCTGTAAATAATGGGGTCTGGACCAGACAATCCATACTAAGGGACCATTCACAATTTAGGGTTGGGGTAGGTGTGTGTGTGTGTGATGAATTTAAGGGGGGATGTGTGTGTCTTGTACATGACACGCAGGGGGATCACTTACTGTGTCATTACACTTATGGAGGATAATTCACATTGTATATGCTTCTACATAAAAATCCTCATCATAGCAATAGATTATAAACAGTCCCTAGGATCCTTCAACCAAATCTCAGTGAACTAGATGAACTGTATCCCTGCTGTTTTGTTGTTAACTGACATGAACATTACTTCTGCGTATCTACTAAAACCACCAACGCACAGTCGCATCATGATAAAGGATACTGTCCCAACAGCAGGTTTTCACAGGGCGTTTTTCCTGTTTTAGTCTCACTTGATGTATCTTTTAAACAATATAACAACACAACTGCAATTGAGAGAATAACCTGGTGTCGGTACATGTGGAACTGTGCGAGTGCTGTTGAATTTACACAAAAGAGTCAAGAAACTGTCATTTGTGAGAGGTAAACATTGAGAAGCCAAACAACACCGCCGGATGTTAAACCGTAAGCAATATAGTTCTCTTCATAAAGACAATTCCACCAATGATAACACCTGAAAATGAATCCACAATAACGAATGAAAACATGCTACAAATACAGTTCAAACTCAATAATTTAGAAAATGACAAGTTGAGTACACTATTGCGTATTATTCTGCATGCATCCATGAAAGTAGTCCTTGTAGAGAACGGCGAGAATATTACTTCCGGGTTTCACGCGAGTAACCTGGAAAGAGGGATTTACGATAAGTGGTCAAGAAGAAAAGGCGATGACAGTGTTCTTCGGATGCCGTTTGAGGAACAAAAATAATAACGAGTTGTAAACAACGTATGATGCGCGCCCTGAGAAAACTGGAACTCACACTAGCTATTCTGAAACCCGATGTTGTAGCTCAACCTCACATTCTAAAGGTTGATCAGTACTCTTCTCCCATTTAGATCTAATGCACAGACACGGCTGTCAAGGGCGCCTCTTAGTTGGGACGGTTCCCTGTCGTCTCGTTAACTGACATAGCTGATGCTCTACAATCCTCAATTTCCTTGACTAACTCTGCCCTCTCTGTTACCTTTCTTCTGGACTCCCTTTGACCTCAGGCATAGTTTCGTAATTTCATTATCATCTTCATTTCATCTTTACTATCTTTGTCCTCAAAAGTTTCTTAGGGTCAGGACACGCACTGCATTTAAATGCACTTGACGTTTCACAAGTGCTTATGTTCTTAAGTAAATATACTACTGACCAATAAGTGTTATTGGAGGTGTAGACTCGTGAAGGTTCGGGTTAGAATATTGTCTGGTACAGACTCGATTATTTACAGACCGCCGCCATATAGCTGGAATATTGCTGAGTGTGGCGTAAAACTAAACTCACCCACTCACTATTGGAGGTGTAAATATAAAGACAGTCGACCTCACCCTGCGCTTGGTAGTGTTTAGGTATATTTTTTGAGTTTAGACCATTATAATTGTATCAAACCAACAGTCTACATTCTTTTTATGAGACATATATTGAAATACAATAAACAAACCATATATGTATAAATAGAGTGACATTTTTCATCGTGTTATCAGGGGTGGAAATAACGTTACTTTAACATTTATATTGTACTCCGGTACAGTGGCACATGTAAAGTTACTTGCCCTGATAATTTTTCCACTATACCGACCGTTTTCTTGCTGATTTTTTAGATAAACAACATAAATAACATTGGAAAGTCAACTGGACACCGGTACAGTGTGATATACAAATTTGCTTGCCCGACAGAAAAAAACACTGGACTCGGATGTCGGGCAATGGGTTATTTCCACCCCAGTGTTATGGCTTTGAGGTATATTTTTTATCTCTGTAGTATTTAACCCTTTTGGTCATTTTGTATGCTGTTATTTATAAGAATGTTGTTAACTTGTCAGTACTTCCACACCATATACAATCATAATATCTGTCATTATTCACCAGACTGTGCAGGCTATCCATTAAGCATGTTTTAAGAGATACATATTGATATGTGTGTATGGCAAGTGTATGCAGCTTCTAGTCATTATCCAGTGAAACAACTTAACAGAAGGGATGCTGACATTAACTGCATCCTGCATAAGGGACTGCACCTTGCCATGAAGAGTTGTTTCCCCTTGACCAGATCCTCTGTGTTGGTTCAAAACCCAAATACAATCTGGTTACAATTCTTTGACTGTTAGCAATGGCTTGCATCCACTTGTTTGTGGATTCTGACAAAGTGGTGAACATGTATATTACTGTCACTTTGACCTTTTTTTCCCATATTCTTTGATATAAATGGAGGCGGTGGAGTAGCCTTGTGGTTAAAGCGATCGCTTGTCTTGTTCGATTCCCCACATGGGTACAATGTGTGAAGCCCATTTCTGGTGTCCCCCGATGTGATATTGCTGGAAAATTGCTTAAAACGGCATAAAACCCAACTCACTCACTCACTAACTTTGATATAAATGAATTACTGTTCAATAGGATGTAAAGCCCTCAACTTACCCAAAACAAGATTTTGAAAAACATCACAATAAAGTTTAATTTGGGAATGAGAAGTATGACTGTGATGTAATTCCCAGATGTATTTTGTTATTGTAGGAAATCCGTTCAGTAATCCTGCAGCAAGAATTTTTATTTGTGAGATCAAAGAAGCTGATCTTATCACCAACAAGAGCAAAGGAATTTTACAAGGAGCATGATGGCAAGTACACAACTTATAACTTAAACAAAGAAGATTATTGGTTCCTTGTCAAAAGACAATGTCAGACTGAATACTAGGCCTGACTACTGATATAGATCGAAGAGATCTATAATCGTTAAGTAAATCTCTATCAATTATAGATAAATAGTCAGTGAAGTATCTGCAGAGGTACAGATAAGCTGCATATCTGCGTAAATTACGCAAATATTTATGTGAAAACTCAATTCGTATTAAGTCTATTGCGTACAAGTAGATGTGATCTTGCATGCGTATGCACAAAAATGTTGACTCATAGATTTCGTACCGGAGCATCGATAAAATAACTGAGGTATATTCAGAGGTTCTATTTCAACACATGAACTTGGCAACTTGCATGTCTTTCTTGCCGTTTCTCATATTACAGATCCAATACAAATAACATTTAAACTTTATCATATTTTTACAATCAATGGAAAATGGCAAAATACCCAATTGATTTTGTGTGAGGTGGGTACAATTTATTTGTTTACTCAAAGGAAAATTAGGATACCCAATTGAGATGAACACAAGGAAGTACATAACTCAATGACCCAAAATGTTATCTGTAGCTCTGATCTTTGAGCAAAAATGCCTCCCAAATCGTCTGAAAGTAATGAATATATTCCACATCACAGGTGAGTGGTGACATGTTCATCAGGGATAGAAATACTATTTTTTCTAAGTGTGCCTTAGGGCACCAGACAAATATTTTAGGTGTGCCTTTCTGAAATCGAGTATGCCCACATGTTTTTAGAATAAATGACAATAATGATGATCATTTGAAATTTATTGTTAAATGGGTTTAAGAAATGGGTTTATGAGCATTCAAATATGTATGGTATTATTCAATTTGGAAAAAAATAATTGTTTTGGGGATTAAATGACTAAATGTGAGTTATGTCTCTTAAAAAATTAGGCATGTCAAAAGGGCACCGAGAACATTTTTTAGCCGTGCCATTTCTGTATTTACCGTGCCATGGCACACTAGTATATGGGGTATTTCGAACCCTGTTCATGCATGAGTTACTAACAAAATTGTCCTGAACATAATGTAGAAGCAGCCTATGAATAAAAATCTAACTTGGTGTATTGTGAGAGTAAATTAAAACTTTATTCTATGACAAACACTGATGTATGATATTATCGATATCACAGTTTTCATGTCGATAATCATAAATAATTTTTCTATTTATGATATTTCTGATTGTCAATCTTTTTAGTCTGCCCTACTGAATACACTTGTCAGCCTCTGGTTTTGTTGATTGGTTGTCATCATGTCCGATGGCATGGATCGGTACTTGTGTTTTCTGCCTGGTCCAGATTGAATTATTTGCTGGATATTTGGCTGCCAGCAATGTTAAGCAACTTTCACTCACTCATCCACTCATGGATTACCTGGTCAGAAATAGCCCATTATAGGTGATGCCATGACTACCAGCTTAGCATGGAAGGGGAAGTGTTGTTGTGTCTGCATAGTTGCTCCTCTTTGAACCACTCAGTTATCTGATTTAAGTCAGATTAGGAGTTAGGTTTATTTCTTCAGTGCTCATTGTAGAAGCTTCTGACTCCTATTCATGATGCACAGCAAAAGTAATAACAATACTTTCAGCCTGAACTGTGAATTGTCCATGTACTAATGCTAAGTTCTTCACAAAATAATGTAACTTTCAGATGTTTGTATCACAGACTTTATGTATCATGTTTACGTTCATTCTTTATGTATCAGTAAATGTTTCAAGAATTTGGATATTGTGTTTCAGGAAAGTTCTTTCTCAACCGTCTTGTGTCCTTCATGAGCAGGTAATTATTACCCAGTGTTTCCGTTCTCCGGTATATACCTGTATATCGCAGGTAGAATTTGTTGGGGACCGGTAAATTGAAAGCCAGCAGGACACCGTGTCCGGTAAATAATCTTGTATTAAAATAAAAACATCATGGGTAAGCGAAATGAAGTACTTACAGAATGGTAATAAGATATGACCGACAAATTTCATTCATGACCGGTAAAATTTTAGATCACCAGACACAGTGTCCGATAAATAATGAAGTCAGCGGAACACTGATTTACCCCAAAATGTCAAAATGCTGTGTATCTTACATATTTGCAAAGATGCAAGATCAGAAATCGATTGTTTATGTTTGAGGTGATTTTCATGGGTCAATGGATTACTTGGGACTGTATAGGACTGAGCATTTAAAGGGGGACTGACTCAGGTCCAGTTGGCATCATTTAAATCAAGTCTCTTGATTTGTTGGTTCAAATGTGTGATGCATATCAATCCACTAGTTAATGAGCTAGGATAATGTATTGGTAGAATCACACAAGTTCAACTGCGCAATGGTAGAGCTCCCATTGGAGTTTAGTTTGTCAAAATGGAACATCGATGGTCTTGGGCTTGCAGACTACAGAGTTTACATGGCTGATGGTTCTGATGTTGTAGTGCTAAATTCATTTAAAAAACATCCCTGCTAACTCATATGAGCTGACAGATGAACAGAAACGGTAACAATTAATTCCAAACAAACACAAAATGCTATTGAAAAAGTTGTTAAGTTTGTGTTATAAAGTGGATGGATGTGTCTGTATATTTGCAGTGGGCCGATATGGACACACATACTGGCCAGAGAAAATGCCATTCCTGAGTGGAGGAGAATCATGGGCCCAACTAAAGTATTGAAGTAAGGACAAGAGACAGCAGGTTTTGATTGGTTGTTTAGTGCAGTATCAGCAGTATTCCTGCTATATACAATGACCTGGTTGGTTGGGTGTTGTTTAGTGCAGTATCAGCAGTATTCCTGCTATATACAATGGCCTGGTTGGTTGGTTGGTTGTTGTTTAGTGCAGTATCAGCAGTATTCCTGCTATATACAATGGCCTGGTTGGTTGGTTGTTGTTTAGTGCAGTATCAGCAGTATTCCTGCTATATACAATGGCCTGGTTGATTGGTTGGTTGTTGTTTAGTGCAATATCAGCAGTATTCCTGCTATATACAATGGCCTGGTTGGTTTTGTTGTTGTTTAGTGCAGTATCAGCAGTATTCCTGCTATATACAATGGCCTGGTTGGTTTTGTTGTTGTTTAGTGCAGTATCAGCAGTATTCCTGATAAATACAATGGCCGGTTGGTTGGTTGTTATTGTGTACAGTATCAGCAGTGTTCCTGCTATATACAATGGCCTGGTTGGTTGGTTGTTGTTTAGTACAGTATCAGCAGTATCCCTGCTATATACAATGGCCTGGTTGGTTGGTTGTTGTTTAGTACAGTATCAGCAGTATCCCTGCTATATACAATGGCCTGGTTGGTTGGTTGTTATTGTGTACAGTATCAGCAGTATCCCTGCTATATACAATGGCCTGGTTGGTTGGTTGTTGTTTAGTACAGTATCAGCAGTATCCCTGCTATATACAATGGCCTGGTTGGTTGGTTGTTATTGTGTACAGTATCAGCAGTATCCCTGCTATATACAATGGCCTGGTTGGTTGGTTGTTGTTTAGTACAGTATCAGCAGTATCCCTGCTATATACAATGGCCTGGTTGGTTGGTTGTTGTTTAGTACAGTATCAGCAGTATCCCTGCTATATACAATGGCCTGGTTGGTTGGTTGTTGTTTAGTACAGTATCAGCAGTATTCCTGCTATATACAATGGCCTGGTTGGTTGGTTGTTGTTTAGTGCAGTATCAGCAGTATTCCTGCTATATACAATGGCCTGGTTGATTGGTTGTTGTTTAGTGCAGTATCAGCAGTATCCCTGCTATATATAATGGCCTGATTGGTTGGTTGTTGTTTAGTGCAGTATCAGCAGTATTCCTGCTATATACAATGGCCTGGTTGATTGGTTGTTGTTTAGTACAGTATCAGCAGTATCCCTGCTATATATAATGGCCGGTTGGTTGGTTGTTATTGTGTACAGTATCAGCAGTATTCCTGCTATATACATTGGCCTGGTTGGTTGGTTGTTGTTTAGTGCAGTATCAGCAGCATTCCTGCTATATATAATGGCCTGGTTGGTTGGTTGTTGTTTAGTGCAGTATCAGCAGCATTCCTGCTATATATAATGGCCTGGTTGGTTGGTTGTTGTTTAGTACAGTATCAGCAGCATTCCTGCTATATATAATGGCCTGGTTGGTTGGTTGTTGTTTAGTGCAGTATCAGCAGCATTCCTCTATATACAGTGACATGGTTGGTTGTTGTTTAGTGCAGTATTCTCCAAAATAATGATGTTAAAATCCTCCCCACTTTCAAACAATATCGAGATTTTTTTCCTAATTCGCCAAGGCACTTAGTGAAATCATAGATAATCACTCCTATCTAATTTGAACATTGATTACCGGGTTCCACAAAGACCACAATATATTTCCACTAATTGTCAATGTCAGGACTGCCTGTATCCTGAAACATGATATAAAGTAAGAGCTACTACATCACCTGGTGTCCCCCCACCAAAACACTGACTGTGAAGCTGTAACCATGGAAATGTAGCATTTGTTTCTGTATTGTATCAGGACAATCCATGAAGCTCCAGAAACAATCCGTGGTCGGTTTGGATTGACAGATACTCGGAACTGCACACATGGATCTGGTGAGAATATAAGTATGTAGTGTTAGATCCAGATCACGGTGATGAAAGATGGGTGCAGGACAGGTGTGGGCAGACTAAAGCCTGGTAGATAATCATGGCGACCTTCATAGTGGTGAGAAGGGGTGGTGGGGTAGTGTAGTGGTTAAGGCTTTCGCTCATCACGCTGAAGACCCGGGTTTGATTCCCCACATGGGTACAATGTGTGAAGCCCATTTCTGGTGTCCCCCGTCATGATATTGCTGGAATATTGCTAAAAGCGGCGTAAAACTAAACTCACTCACTCACACATAGTGGTGAGAAAACAGGGCTCTGGTGGCATTCTGCTGTCACACAAAATTGCTTGAAGGCCTAAATATGCCACAATTGAACTCGCTTGCTGTGAACTGCAGCAGTACAATATCTCGATTAACAAATGATTGATCAACACTGAATAGTGCAACGTGTTCTGGTCACACAAGTCTACAACCGTGCCATCAATGACTGTTTGGTTGGTTTGTTATTTAATGCCACACTCAGCAGTATTCCAGCTATATTGTGGCGGTTGCACAATAATATGGACCATGCAATCCAGTGATCAGCTTCATGAGCATCGATCTACACAATTGGGATACAATGACAAGTGTCAACCAAGTCAGAGAGTCTGACCGCCCGACCCCGTTAGTCGCCTCTTTTGACAAGCATGAGTTACTGAAGACCCATTCTTCACAGGTCACCATCAGTGAAATGGTAGCAGCAGTGGGAGGTTCAACGATGGGAATGATGAGAATTGTATGTGTATTGGCACATACAGCCTTGTATACAGATCAGATAACAGCGCTAAGATGTATAAAGAGTTGTCCTGTTACCTTTACTTTCCATAACTCTATTTCAATTTGGCAATAACTGATACATATTTATTGAAGTAGTCGTAAAATCTTCAAAGCTTTGGACAGTGTGTGCTTATGAATTTATGAATGCTGATTGATATGAGGGAAAACAGTCTATGAGTCACACGTAACATCATGCATGATCAGAGGTCCAGATAAGCTGCGTATCCGGGTAAAATATGCATAGAAAATTTCCAATTACGCATTGAAAAATAATTGTTGCGTACCAATTACGCATTTAAAATGTTAGATACGCAAAAAGTTAAAACAAATGCGTATGCAATATATTTATAAAAATCGCTTGCGTAATGAAAAAGACATTGATTGCTATCAAGTTGTACTGTTAGTATAGGACTAGTGTTGTACTGTCAGTATAGGATGAGTGATTTTTTATGAAATCATTTCCATTATATTTAAGTTGGTTTTGATTAGGAATGACATAAGGCAGAACATACCTGCTTAGTAAACTAAATCAATGACACAATACTTAGGTGAGTACAATGACTGAAATACGCACATATTTGAAAGCGGTGGGTAACGGAAAATGAAATACACACTCAAAATTCATAATACCCACTCCAAAAAAAAATACAGTGGGACAGTACCCACATGAGGTAAATCTTATCTGGAGCTCTGGATGATGTAACTACACAACAATATGTTCCCCTTTCTAACAACTTCAGATGTACATTATCTTGATAACAAAAATGGTTGATTAATACTGAATTGTGTACGGTGTGTTTATTACACAAAGCCTTCACCTGTACCTCAATGGTTAGAGTTTAGATAGGAATTACATGTATTTTGGTACAACCTTGCAGGAGGTATATCCAAGTAAAATATGTTTAGAAGCAAAAGTTATTGTCACACCAGTATCCAGTATATATATGAAACTGCATATGAAGATGATAAATTTCATCTATTCTGTGTAATGATATAATCTTTGGTAATATTCAGATCTCTGTTGGGGCGGGGGGTAGCCTAGTGGGTTTGCCCGTCACGCCAAAGGCCTGGGTTTGATTCCCCTCATGGGTAAAATGTGTGAAGCCCATTTCTGGTGTCCCCCGCCGTGATATTGCTGGAATATTGCTAAAAGCAGCATAAAATCAAACTCACTCACTCACTCAGATCTCTGTTTATATCTAATGTAATGATTAAGTAAAAAGGTTCCACTTTGGCAGGCAATTGAGTAGATACATTGTATATAATTAAGCAGTCGTAAAATCCTCATCCCTACTCAATGTGGAGAGAAGACACTTCAGCCTTGACCTTTTATTTTAACTGTGGCCCTTGTACTTCAGATTCCACTGAAACTGCCGCTCGTGAAATCAAGTTCTTCTTTCCTGAGTTCTCCATTGGCAAGTGGCATGACACTGAGGAAACTCATTTCTTCAGTCGACAGGTCAGCCTTGACGAGGACTTGTGTCAACATGTTTCCCTTCAAGATGTATCTGATGCCATCAGTTGATAACATCCTAGTCTGTTAGACAGGTCAGCCTTGACGAGGACTTGTGTCAACATGTTTCCCTTCAAGATGTATCTGATGCCATCAGTTGATAACATCCTAGTCTGTTAACCAATTGTTGTAGCCCCTGTTACCATGGCGGTGTGATAAAGAAATGTGTGTGTGAGAATGTGGGTTAGGATATTTTCACAGGTTATATGAAGAAATACAGTGATCAAGCTGTGACTGACTGACTGACTGAGTTTGGTTTTACCCCGCTTTTAGCAATATTCAAGCAACATCACGGCGGGGGACACCAGAAATGGGCTTCACACTTTGTACCCATGTGGGGATTCGAACCCGGGTCTTTGGCGTGACCAGCGAACGCTTTAACCACTAGGCTACCCCACCGTCCTGATCAAGCTGTGAAATGACAAGTATGTTGGTGTGTAGGCAAGCCAGATGTGTTTGCTTGTATTGGATTGTATCTCATTCAAGTAAGACTTTTCCCATTTATTGCTCCAAAGCACATGTAAGCAGTCTCTATGTTACATAATGAAATGTAATATGTATCTGACTGGAGAAGCCTAGGGGTTAAAGCATTCCATTGTCACCCGAAGACTGTGTCCGAATGCCAACATGAGTACAATATGTGAAGCCCATTTTTGATGTCTCTCACGATGAAATATAATGTATATTGGGTATTGCTGAAAGTGGTATATAGTACACAAATGTCCACCCGTTATGCCCGTGTGCAGATACTGGAGGGTCGTTTTGATTTTGCAAGGAGTGATGAGAGCTTGTATGATCATGTGCATTAAAAATTACATCCTCTATAGAATGTGTACATCATAGTGTCTCTTTTCTGACATGATGTTTTTCTGTGCTTGACTCACTTTGATTATAATCAATTATGACATACATGTGAGTGTCTGCTGCAGCACTCTCAAACCATTGGACCCGTGAAGTTCCAGCTTATCGTAAGAGGCAACTAACGGGATTGGGTGGTCAGGCTTGCTGACTTGGTTGACACATGTCATTGTATCCCAATTGCGAATATTGATGCTCGTGCTGTTGATCACTGGATTGTCTGGTCCAGACTCGATTATTTACAGACCGCCGCCATATAGCTGGAATATTGCTGAGTGTGGCGCTAACAACAACCAACCAACCATCAAACAGTTGGAAGATAAACTTTAGTTGAAAACTATTGGGGTGAACATTAGCTGGAAACTATTGGGGTGAACATTAGCTGGAAACTATTGGGGCGAACATTAGCTAGAAACTATTGGGGTGAACATTAGCTTGAAACTATTGGGGTGAACATTAGTTGAAAACTATTGGGGGGTAAACTTTAGTTGAAAACTATTGGAGTGTGAACATTAGTTGAAAACTATTGGGGGGTAAACTTTAGTTGAAAACTATTGGAGTGTGAACATTAGTTGAAAACTATTGGAGTGTGAACATTAACTGGAAACTATTGGGGTGAACATTAGCTGAAACTATTGGGGTGAACATTAGCTGGAAACTATTGGGGTGAACATTAGCTTGAAACTATTGGGGTGAACATTAGCTGGAAACTATTGAAGGGTGAACATTAGCTGGAAACTATTGGGGGGTAAACATTAGCTGGAAACTATTGGGGGGTAAACATTAGCTGGAAACTATTGAGGGGTAAACATTAGTTGGAAACTATTGGAAGATAAACTTCAGTTGAATTGGAAACTATTGGAGTGTGAACATTAGCTGGAAACTATTGGAAGATAAACTTTAGTTGAAAACTATTGGAGTGTGAACATTAGCTGGAAACTATTGGGGGAGAACATTAGTTGAAAACTATTGGAGTGTGAACATTAGTTGAAAACTATTGGGGGGTAAACTTTAGTTGAAAACTATTGGAGTGTGAACATTAGTTGAAAACTATTGGAGTGTGAACATTAACTGGAAACTATTGGGGTGAACATTAGCTGAAACTATTGGGGTGAACATTAGCTGGAAACTATTGGGGTGAACATTAGTTGAAAACTATTGGGGGGTAAACTTTAGTTGAAAACTATTGGAGTGTGAACATTAGTTGAAAACTATTGGGGGGTAAACTTTAGTTGAAAACTATTGGAGTGTGAACATTAGTTGAAAACTATTGGAGTGTGAACATTAACTGGAAACTATTGGGGTGAACATTAGCTGAAACTATTGGGGTGAACATTAGCTGGAAACTATTGGGGTGAACATTAGCTTGAAACTATTGGGGTGAACATTAGCTGGAAACTATTGAAGGGTGAACATTAGCTGGAAACTATTGGGGGGTAAACATTAGCTGGAAACTATTGGGGGGTAAACATTAGCTGGAAACTATTGAGGGGTAAACATTAGTTGGAAACTATTGGAAGATAAACTTCAGCTGAATTGGAAACTATTGGAGTGTGAACATTAGCTGGAAACTATTGGAAGATAAACTTTAGTTGAAAACTATTGGAGTGTGAACATTAGCTGGAAACTATTGGGGGAGAACATTAGTTGAAAACTATTGGAGTGTGAACATTAGTTGAAAACTATTGGGGGGTAAACTTTAGTTGAAAACTATTGGAGTGTGAACATTAGTTGAAAACTATTGGAGTGTGAACATTAACTGGAAACTATTGGGGTGAACATTAGCTGAAACTATTGGGGTGAACATTAGCTGGAAACTATTGGGGTGAACATTAGCTTGAAACTATTGGGGTGAACATTAGCTGGAAACTATTGAAGGGTGAACATTAGCTGGAAACTATTGGGGGGTAAACATTAGCTGGAAACTATTGAGGGGTAAACATTAGTTGGAAACTATTGGAAGATAAACTTCAGTTGAATTGGAAACTATTGGAGTGTGAACATTAGCTGGAAACTATTGGAAGATAAACTTTAGTTGAAAACTATTGGAGTGTGAATATTAGCTGGAAACTATTGGGGGAGAACATTAGTTGAAAACTATTGGAGTGAGAACATTAGCTGAAACTATTGGGGGAGAACATTAGCTGAAAACTATTGGGGGGTAAACATTAGCTGGTAACTATTAGGGGAGAACATTAGCTGTAAACTATTGGAGGGTGAACATTAGCTGAAACTATTGGGGGAGAACATTAGCTGAAAACTATTGGGGGGTAAACCTTAGCTGGTAACTATTGGGGGAGAACATTAGCTGTAAACTATTGGAGGGTGAACATTAGCTGAAACTATTGGGGGAGAACATTAGCTGGTAACTATTGGGGGGTAAACATTAGCTGGAAACTATTGGGGGGTAAACATTAGCTGGTAACTATTGGGGGTAAACATTAGCTGGTAACTATTGGGGGAGAACATTAGCTGGTAACTATTGGAGGGTGAACATTAGCTGGAAACTATTGGAGGGTGAACATTAGCTGAAACTATTGGGGGAGAACATTAGCTGAAAACTATTGGGGGGTAAACATTAGCTGGAAACTATTGGGGGGTAAACATTAGCTGGTAACTATTGGGGGTAAACATTAGCTGGTAACTATTGGGGGTAAACATTAGCTGGTAACTATTGAGGGTAAACATTAGCTGGTAACTATTGGGGGGTAAACATTAGCTGGTAACTATTGGGGGAGAACATTAGCTGAAAACTATTGGGGGGTAAACATTAGCTGGAAACTATTGGGGGTAAACATTAGCTGGTAACTATTGGGGGTAAACATTAGGTGAAAACTTTTGGACGGCTTCTGTTCAATACTCACACTATTTGAGGCTTTTATTATGAATGGATGGACCAATTTTCAACTAACATTCATCTGACTGTTGGAATTTACTATACTCACTGTGAGTATATTTTACAATAGCAGCAACAAGAAAACATATTGAAAACATTTTTCACAAAACATTTTTAATGCATATTGAACTGGCCATTGGTGAGAAACATTAGCCGTTGCTCATTAAAGATTAAGTTATGAACACAGCCTGTGCTGACTCCACCGTATATCATTGACACCATCACCTGTGTCTACTGTTGGGATCTAACAGCAAGAACACGACTGATACAAACACCTGTGTCTACTGTTGGGATGTAACAGCAAGACCAAAACTGATACAAGCACCTGTGTCCACTGTTGAGATGTAACAGCAAGAACAAACTGATACAAACACCTGTGTCTACTGTTTGGAAGTAACAGCAGGAACACGACTGATACAAGCACCTGTGTCTACTGTTGGGATGTAACAGCAAGAACACGACTGATACAAGCACCTGTGTCTACTGTTGGGATGTAACAACAAGAACACGACTGATACAAGCACCTGTGTCTGCTGTTGGGATGTAACAGCAAGAACAAACTAATACAAGCGCCAGTGTCTACTCCCATTGGTATGTAGCAGCAGGAACACAACTAGGAGTATGTGTACTCCTGTAGAGCTGGAACTGCAAGTACACCATCAGCAACTTGAAGTATGTCTACTCAGTAGAGATGTACCTGCTTGCACACCATCAGTACCTAGGAGTATGTCTACTCAGTAGAGCTGTACCTGCTTGTACACCACCAGCACCTAGGAGTATGTCTATTCAGTAGAGCTGTACCTGCTTGTACACCGTCAGCACCTAGGAGTATACCCACTCAGTAGAGCTGTAACTACAAGTACACCACCAGCACCTAGGAGTATGCCTACTCAGTAGAGATGTACCTGCTTGTACACCACCAGCACCTAGGTGTATGCCTACTCAGTAGAGCTGTAACTGCAAGTACACCATCAGCACCTAGGAGTATGTCTACTCAGTAGAGCTGTAACTACAACTAAACCATCAGCACCTAGCAGTATGCCTACTCAGTAGAGCTTTAACCGCAAGTACACCATCAGCGCCTAGAAGTAGGCCTACTCAATAGAGCTGTAACTACAAGTACACCATCAGCACCTTGGAGTATGTCTACTCAGTAGAGCTGTAACTACAACTAAACCATCAGCACCTAGCAGTATGCCTACTCAGTAGAGCTTTAACCGCAAGGACACCATCAGCACCTAGAAGTAGGCCTACTCAATAGAGCTGTAACTACAAGAACACCATCAGCACCTAGAAGTAGGCCTACTCAGTAGAGCTGTAACTGCAAGTACACCATCAGCACCTAGGAGTATGCCTACTCAGTAGAGCTCTAACTACAACTAAACCATCAGCAACTAGAAGAAGGCCTACTCAGTAGAGATGTTACCACAAGTAGACCATCAGCACCTAGGAGTATGCCTACTCAGTAGAGCTGTAACTACAACTAAACCATCAGCACCTAGCAGTATGCCTACTCAGTAGAGCTGTAACTGCAAGTACACCATCAGCACCTAGAAGTAGGCCTACTCAGTAGAGCTGTAACCACAAGTAC